CCAAAATATTCACATAACTGCATACCTTAACCAGGAATGCTGTTGCAGATTGGGAGAATAAAGGAGAACTCTTTCCATGGATAATGTGTATTTTTTACCATTTACGTCAGATATGTATAAATGTGATGTATTTTTGTTGTGGTTCACGGCTACAAAAACTTGACCCTCACTTGCATCAGCAATAACATAATCCTAAACAAAAATTAAATTACTTTTTTAACAAGTGAGAAACAAGTAATTCAGAATTTTATCCAGCAAGGCTAAATGTCGTAGAATCCCGAAAATTTCGAAAGTATAGCTGCCCTCCTTTCTTTCGATTTTAGAGAGTTGTAGATTTAACAACGAGATAAATTGTTTGCACATGCTTGCTATATCGTCCTACACCATTATTGCACGCCATGATCTTGTAGTAGAGGCTTGTTTTAATACGTCTTCTTTTCAAAAATGTCGTTATCAATTTGGCCGCAAAGTGTGCGTATAACAGCCTTCGAAATACAGTATAATCGACTGAAAATTTCGGTGAACACTACTAGAAAGGTTATGGCTTTTCATGTAGGAGGAAAATGGCAATTTCCCAATTCCCATCTGTAAGTTAGAGAGTTCAATAATAATAAACCTGGAGTAAGATCCTAGGTACTGAAAGTCAAGCTGTCAAGATACAAATAAAAGACATGAAAGACTGTTCCATATTAATTCTTCAGTTTTTCATATCTCTAAGGATGATTCTGAAATGGAATTAAAACACTGCACGTCCAAAACAAGCTGCACGGTTGGCAAGATAGCTCAAATAGGAAGCTTGTCTATAAATACCCAAAGATGGAATTTTGTAAAAGCAGAAGAGTGCCAAATACCTTCCGTGGTTTCACTACTTCCATACTAATTTACATATCACTTTGAAGTATGTCTTCAACTGTATAAACAGTAGATCGTGTATAACATTATGTTGAATCATGGAGGAGGAGGTCGTTTGCAACTTCTCTGGTTTAAGTCACGGTCTGTCTTACTTTTTAGTTTATTCCTAATGCGGTATTTTTATATAGACTTACAAATAGACAAATGTAGTGATCACGATGAACGAGGCTCTTTTTTCAAGGTGGCATACTTTCCGGAAGCGCAAGCGTGTATAAATATGAAACAAATCTAGATGAACTGTTCGTAAAACTGCAGTTTCTACGTATGGTAACAGAAAATCGAGCGTCACACGTAAAGATCTAATCTTACTTACCTCCGTTCTCAAAGTATTTGGAAATTCAGCCTTCGATATGTCATGGTAATGGTACCCAACATAAAGATCAATACCATTGTTACTCTAAAAAATATGCAGATATTAAAAAAAACGTAGAAAATACAGTGTAGCAATTAGCAAACCCTTCTTCGAGTATCATGGATTGCAAAATATTCCAAATTGACTGATTTACTCAGTCCATACAATGGCCGCCAGCATGAATTTGAGCCTGCAATGCCCTGGTGTAACACTAACCCTTAGCAACGCTAAGGGTTAGCTAAGTGCATCTAGTACTTTCTTGCTTACCATTAAATACAGATATGCTGAATAAATATAATTTAATAATTATATAAAATATAAATCCCCATTTGCTTATTCAATTCAAAGTGTCAGAATGTATCAAATATTTAAAAGTAAGATACATTTAATTTGTGCTCCCCCCCCCCCCCATCGCACCCACTGGGTCTATGTTTTTTTGGGCTTCAATATATATTTTCCTCTTTTGCATATTTTTGGTTCTTAAAATGAAATCGTTAATACGATAATAACAATGAAAACTCTTACAAATACTTTTCTACAAATTTATTTCAAAATTGTTTCTTGAGAATTTGTTACACAAGACAATGACAATATAGACACATTCAGGTAAACCGGTTGCTACTTAATTCACGCAATCAAAAACGCATATGCATATAGTTACCATGCACATGATAATGTGAGCACAGAACAGGACAAAGGTATAACGTAGCATTTAAATAAATAACATAATATATAAATAATTGATAGCCTATTAAGTCGAATGTATAACAGTTTTAATAATATATATAAAGATATTACTCGACTGCGAGTGCAGTTAATCCCAAACAGCAGTGCAATTTTCTGTAATCACAGTGCAATTTTCTGTAATCACAGTGCAATTTTCTGTAATCACAGTGCAATTTTCTGTAATCACAGTGCAATTTTCTGTAATCACAGTGCAATTTTCTGTGATCACAGTGCAATTTTCTGTAATCACAGTGCAAAAATCTGTAACAAACTGATCTGATTGGTGGAAAAACATTGTGATGATTAAATCAACCAATCAGTTTAAAGCAATTTAGTTCAAAGAAGTAACGGTCACAGATTGCTTCAAAACAAAACAAACATGGCGCCGCGGTATACAAAGTAAAAGTTGCCTTCGCGTGGAAAATATGGCTTTTATCTTTATTTTTAAATGGAAAAGCATTTACCTTAAACAAGACTAACAAAAATTACATAGTTGAGTGGAATTTTCAAGCTGTTAGCGTTGTACAATGTGATATAAAAAAGCCAGGAAAACTTTGCCAGTGGAATGTTCGCTAAAAACGCGTAAGTTAAAACTACAATTGTCTCGAACATTTTTATGTAAATTATTAACAAGTAATAGCATGGTTTCTCGTGAAATTTGGATAAACATGCACTCGTGAGTTTTTCAAAGACCTCAAATAGCACTCGTCCTTCGGACTCGTGCTATTTTGAGGTCTTTGAAAAACTCACTCGTGCATGTTATATCCAAATTGCTCTCGAAACCATGCTATTACCTATACTAACCATTTCTTACCTTCTTGGTTGCAAACAAGTATACATCCTGGATTTCAAAATCAATGACATTTTCAATCACTGGCTTAGCGAGGTAGTGTTTATGATCCCAATGACCACGCATAATGTGCGAAGTGCCGTTCCCTAAAACGTAAAATTATCCCAGTTTTCACCTTAAAGGCCATTATGTGGGTCTTGATTGGCATGCACATAGAAACTAGTCAGTAAATGTCACCACAATTAAGCAAGAATCATAGATACAAGAAAAAAAGTGTGAAAAAACTAATTATACTAACAGTACAAGTATAGTTATAGGAAGTTTCATTTTCACTGCTCACTATCCCAGTTCTAAAAAGGATGCCACCCAAAAATGGCGACGTGAGAAAGACTAATTGACTGGAACAATGAGAATCAGTAAAATATCTGAACTAATTAAAATAGTCGGATATTGATTTAACAAACTTCGATATCACGTAATAAACATAAACAATCAGATGGATTTAGCCAATATATATAAATTAATAGTGCAAGGATATTTGGAGCTGAAATCAATTGCGTGAAAAGCACTATCCACCTCCCGAGTATATGCTAATAAGAATTATATAGTTGGTTGGGTTTTTACCCTAGTAGTAAAACTGCCGGTTGGTTCTGGTTCTCAAGACTTAGTCCTTACCATCGTCTATCTGCAAATAGATGACATCATCTGTATCCAGATCTTCAATTCCCCTGGAAACACATACAATAAACTAGTGAGTTAACTAAGTTTTGTCATTGGCTCGTTCTTATCATCTCATGCATGTTACTAGTATTTGATTCCTTCAGTATATGCAGTTATTACGCTTCTATCGCATAAAGAGTGCTTTCAATTTCTCCACTAAAAGGGAGAATCGGGCGGAATATAGGCGCGCGGGCGATAAGGCGCAATCGGTTTTATTTGGGTTTTTTTTTACATTTTTAGTAATACCCACATTCATTTGGTGTCTACGCTTTTCAGATTATTAAATATATCAAAATTAGTAAATACAAATAAGAATCCTTTTGATTTAGTGTTTCGCTTTCAGAGATTTGAAAGGTCAAACTGGTATAGGACCAATACCCAATAGTTGTATTATTATTCCGTATCTTGCTTGGTTTTCGAAATAAATAGACTTATTTTGATCAAAAGCAGCGTGCATTCCACCATCTTGGATATACATTCGATATGCATACGTCACAAGTAGGGTAAAAAGCGAAATTTTTATCTTGCAAACCACATATTATTATCAATACGAAACTCGATTTTCCGAAGTATATTTAGAACTCAATTAACTCACAACATTTTAAGAAACTTTTCGAAGAAATTTAGTCTCACATGAAAAAGTTTTAACAAGTTTACTCTACTTGTGACGCCATCAAAAGTTAATTAGGTCAATTATAATTCCAAGATGGCGGACTGCGCACACTGTTTTTGGTCAAAATATTTCGAAAACTAAGCAAGGTACGAAAAAGGTGTAAAGGGTTTTCATATTTCACTTTTAAAGTTCTTTCAAATAAGACAAACGTTTATTGCCATATCCCTTTAATGAGCAAGACTGAGGCTTTTTGGAGTGTACTCAGTCATCACGTTCATTAAAAGACTACAATATATTGTCTTAATATTGCTCTTAAACAGCTAAATATCTTGGATTTTGCAACCCAAATAACAGTAGACACCACTCCAATGACAGCTCCAACTTCAACACCAGGTTTCTCGAACACGCCACGTACCCCATACGGGAGCGAGCAACGGCCGCAACCTGGGATCAATCGGGCTGATTTCAGGTTTTGCCGAAAATTAATGACGAATTAATGTTGTTGCAATATATTGTAGTCTTTTAACCTGATGATGGAGTAAACTCCAAAAACGTCGTTTTTAATAAAAAAATATTAAGCCTTATTCTTGGTCATTGATACCACAAAAAAGTATATTTTATGTACATTGTATTGAGAGAGACATACCAAAAATAAGAAGTGACATTTTTTGCTCGTTCAGTCCATGTAGATCCAAAATTTCTGGAACTGTAAATCTAAAAAGAAATCGAACACTTTATAAAAAATACTACGCGACTTAATTTTCATGCAGAAAAATGTTTTCCACCATTCATGCAGAAAAATATTAAGTGATGAGTAATATGTACCGTTGTTGCTTAATGGGTTAATATCAGAGTTCTATATTTGGCTTCGAATGCGAGTTCGACTTAACGACTACCAGATCAGTGTACCAGATTCGTTCATTTGGATACGCCATCTTTTTAAGCCATCACAATACATACGGACGCCCAATGAAATGAATATAACTGGAACGCCACCTTTAGATAAACTGCCTATCTTTTTCTTGAAGCCAAATTTGACCCGCATATCAAGACCCACGTGTTTATATCATGATTGACTGATTGAGCGCTCTTCGCATGCGTGAAAAGACTGGGAGTGGCCTTCATGTTTGGCTTCAAATTTCCGGTTGGAGGTAGCGTTCCAGTTATATTCATTTCAGTGCGGACGCCTTACAAATCTCGTAGCCGTCGCCAAATTGACAATGGGATTCTTGAAAAGTCTCGTAGTATACAAACATCTATTACGAGTAGTACGAGATTATAGCGTGTGTACGTAATGGCGTGAGAAGATGGCGAGCATGTGCAAACAATGAATCTCGTAGTCACAGCCAAATCTAAAGTTCCCCAAAAAAATCAGTGGCGGAAGATAGCATAGATTTCTATGGAATACAGTATGGTAATATGGCCGTATTCCCACGCCGCGATAAGTTGTTTCTGAGTTTTGCAACGAACGTTGTGATTGCACAACATTACGTTTCACGTGATAATGATAACATGGGGGTGCAACTTTGCGTTTTGTAACGAACGTTGTGATTGCACAACATTACGTTTCACGTGATAATGATAACATGGGGGTGCAACTTTGCGTTTTGTAACGCTCACTTCTCTTCCGTGTGCAACATTACGTTTCACGTGAAAATGATAACATGGGGGTGCAACTTTGCGTTTTGTAACGCTCACTTCTCTTCCGTGTTGAGTCAAGACAATAACAAACCGAAATTACAAATTCCTCTTTGGCACTTTTGCTATTTATATATTTAGTATTTTTGTTTCATATGATTAAAATATATATACTATTCAAAAAAATACCTTTAATTAACGCAAAGTTACGCCTCGTGTGTTATCACTATTTTGACAAATGAAACGTAAAGTTGTCCAATCACAATGTTGGTTGCAAAACTCGGAAACAAATTTTTATCTCGGCGTGGAGTAACCCTTGAATACAAACCGTAATATCACGACGTTGTCGAAAACTGTCATATATTATGTTTTGCTTACGCGTGGGACGCGAGAGTCTGAAATGAACCCTGTCGGAAAGTTCCGGAATATACCGGTAGTTGTTATTGTGATTTATGAAAAACAATTCTGAGACAACGTGTTGTGAGAGATTTATAGTGCGTATAAACGTTATTAATATATAATCTTTGTTCACTGTTCAAAATGCACGCACGTCATTGGTCAAAATCGATCACGTGTGTTTTTGTTACCTGGCAACAACGAATCCTGCGAATGCGTTATTGACAATAACGCATAAAAAATGTGCATTATTGAAAATGGCTGCCAGCGAGGCTGCCGGCTCAAGGTTTGCTCGAGTCGATGAGGAAGAAATTAATCGGATTATAGAGGATGCAATACCTGAAAGTACGAAAAGACAAACAAGCTGGAGCATTGCTATCTTCAGAGGTCAGTAAACCAAGCAAAAACTTATATTATTCGCCATTTTTCTGTGTATAAACAATTGCTCGAAAAGTTGCATGCAAGCAGTGAACTCAGATTATATGTTAAATGGGTTCTTAGAGACTGTAAAGTTCGTGTTTTGTTTATGAATATACGCACTTGCTGATCGTACAATGAACTCGAAATTTTCAATACTGCACTCGGCTTCGCCTCGTTCAGTATTGAAATTTCTCGTTCATTGTACGATCAGCGCGTGCGTATATTTGTAAACCAAACACTCACAGCAGTCTCTAACCCTTAATTAAAACTAAAGAAAAAAACTAAAACTTATTGTGTTGAGAACTATCAGGACGGGGGGGGCAATTCTCGACATAGTAGCACCTCCAAACGGGATTTATGTGATTTATCGCTCGTACAAGAGCAAGAACCTGTGAAAATATTGGCGTTTATATAAGTTTACGAACGACACGGCCGCGGGAAACGAAACCTGTCTTTAAAAAGCATTAAAACTGGTGATTATTGTACTGATTTCTTGTAAATTAACGGAGATATGGAATCAAAAGTGAAGGAGCTCGAAGGGAAATTGCGAACACTCGAATTTGCCGTGAAAAGAAGCGACGAAGTGATTAAAACGAACAGTAGCGAAGCGATATCCAGACACGAAAATTCGATAATAGCAAAGGTCAATGCATGTCACAGCTTGAAGGACAGTATTGAGGAAGAAAAATTCGTAAAAGAGGAGTCCGAGGAGCAAATAACAGAGTGGGTAAGTGCTATATTGAGGAAAAATTAAAAGCTGCCGGCGAAAAGGTTTTAGAACTGCGACAAATTCAAGACGAAATTGTGCGAAAAACGCAAGCGATTGAGAAAGCCGAAGCCGTTAAAAAGGAACTCATGTTTCAGCAAGAAAAACACGAACAAAAATTACGTCAAGAGCACGAGCTATTCGAACAACAACTAAAATTTCAAAAGGCATTAGAAGCAAATCGACAGAGTGAAGCGAAAGCGAGTTCAAAGAAGCTACCTAAGCTTTCTATAACAAAATTTGATGAGAAATACGAAAACTGGCTGCCATTTTGGAACAAATTCAAGCCGGAAATTGACAGCACTGATCTTTCTCCGGTAACACAGTTCGCATATTTGAAAGAGCTCGTAGAACCAAGAATAAGAGCGGATATTGATGGGCTACCCCTAACAACAGAAGGTTACAGTCGAGCAAAGGCAATCTTGTCTGGCGAATATGGGAAAACAAGCGAAATTGTTAATGCATACGCGCAGAATATTTTGGAGTTACCTGTTGTCAAGGATGCCAACCCAAATGAGGTAGATAAATTTTACAAAACTTTATTATATAACGTACAGTCTTTAAAGACTCTAGGCAAGCTAGAGCGTGTTAATGGGATGACAAGAAGTGTAATCGATAAACTACCGGGTATAAAAAGCGATATTGTGAGAGGGCATCGTGAAGGTTGGAAGGATTGGGGCTTAGCGCAACTTGTTAAGGAAATGAAAGTATGGAGAGACATTAATAATCCATGTAATGAGGAGAGTGGTAAAGAGAAAGGGGTTTCCCTTTCTAAGGATAGATCAGACAAAGTCTTTAACACTGGTGCAAGGAAACACAGTTGTGTATATTGTGAAGACAGCAATCACAAGTCACGTGAGTGTACACGTGTTGCCGATGTGAATGAGAGGAAGAAAATCCTAGCAACTAAACAGTTGTGTTTTAACTGCACAGGAGCACGACATCGAGCTTCTGAATGTAAAAGCACTTCTGGATGTCAGCGGTGCAAGCAAACACACCATACATCAATCTGTATGATGAAAGATAAGCTATTAGGTAGCAAACCAGTCGTGTATCCAATAGCAAATGTTAACGTAGAGGGAATTGAGTGCCGTGCCCTATTGGATACCGGAGCCGGAAGCTGTTATGCTTCAGCAGCCCTGTTAGACCGACTTCCAAAACGGTCGCAATCAAAGGAAGTGTGTTTATAAAATAACATGTACATAACGCGTATTCTGATTGGTCGAAACCCGTGTTTGGATCAGGCCATCCAAACACGGAAGACTATCGTGTTGTTGTTATTTTATAAAACAATTACTTTATGGTTTCCGTGTTTGGATGGAATGATCCAACACTTGGGAATGTTGCTCGAGTTAAGAAAAGCGGGCAAAATCACTCGCCTTCGGCTCGTGATTTCGCTCGCTTTTCTTAACCCTCGCAACATTCCCGCGTGTTTGGATCAGGCCATCCAAACACGGAAACCATAAAGTAATTGTATAAAAATTAAGATGATGCTTGGCTCCACAACTCGTGAAGTTAGTTTGTCCACAATCATGTTGCATCTGTTGACGGTGAAGAGAAATTACAAGTGGAAGTTACGAGAGTCGAACGGGGAAAACTGTTTACGATTGACAAACCACATTATTCAGAGATAATTCAGTCATTTAAACATCTTGAAGGAGTCATCACGGTGGATAATGATCCCAAACCATTTTTGCCAGTCCGACACCTGATTCTCAGGGCGAGTGATTATGCAGCAAATAAAGACGGCGGAACCACCACGTGTCGGTCAGCTGGGAGAGCCTGTGACAGAGAGAACTAAGTTCGGGTGGACTATAATGTCTTCAGGGAAGGAGTTGGATCATTCGAAGATGTTGTTAACCCAGACTACCCATACCGACTATGAGGATTTGTGTCGACTAGATATACTTGGCCTGGAAGATAGACCCGAGCACGATCAACAGACGGTGCATGCTGAGTTCCGTGAACAGCTTATACGTGATCCAGAGGGATGGTATGAAACCGGATTATTGTGGAAGGAGAACCACCCACTATTACCGAGCAACAAGGAAGGCAGCCTACGCCGACTTGATCGCTTATATAACAAATTAGAGAAAATGGAAGTCACTCGTGAATACAATAAGGTAATCGAACAACAAAAAGAGGAGGGAATAGTGGAGTTGGCCGATGAACTCCCACATCCAAGGAGTTTTACCTTCCCCACAAACATGATGTGCGAACAGGCGCAGAATCGACAAAGCTTCGTGTGGTGTATGGTGGATCTGCTCGAGAAAACCCAGAATCCCCTAGTCTCAACGAGTGTTTATATGCCGGACCTCCGCTCCAGAACAAGCTGTGGAACGTCCTGACACGAATGCGGTTTCATCCAGTTGCATTGTCTGGCGACCTGAAACAAGCCTTTCTACACGTGAAGATTAAGAAAGAGGAAAGAGATTCCCTGAGATTCTTCTGGAAGCCAAGTGAACATTCTTTAACAGAAACACTCAGATTTACAAGAGCACTTTTTGGCCTAACCTGTTCACCCTTCCTCCTTACAGCAGTCGTGGAACATCACCTGGAAGTTGGGAAGCCCAAGAACCAGAGCTAGTTGCTGACATATTTATTTATTTTTATTTATTGAATTTGTCAAAAAAATACGTTACATAAAAAATATATACTTTGGCTTGATATCACAGTTGCATTACAGTAGTTACGAGGTGGTGGACAGTATAAACAATGTGTAGCGAACCGGGTCAAGAAGATCCAAGAGCATCCTGAAATCACCTGACGCCATGTACCTACAAATGATAACCGAGCGGACCTGGGAAGCAGAAGAGGCAGAGTATCGGGAAATCGCGTTTGATGGAACGGCCCAGAATGGTTGGTGAACCCAGAACAATGGCCTCCAGATATCGTTACGACAGCCACTCCCGAAAGCGAGTCTGAAGCAAAAGCAGTGAAAGAACTCTTCAGTGCAGCCGTGGTTTCAAGAGATGAGTTTGACGACCTTCTCGAAAAGTTTTCATTGACGAAAGCCATCAGAGTTATCGCTTGGGTGCATCGATTCGTGTTCAACTGCAGAGCAGGCAACAACGAACACGCGTTCTGGGTAAAACGAGCTCAATCATACCAAAATGACCAAGCAACCGAAGACAAGCTACGCCTTAATGTGAAGACGAACGAAGGAGATGGAGTGATGTATTGTAACGGTCGATTGCAATGAGAATACCCAATATATCTACCCGATGACCATCTCTACACCAAAAAGTTGGTCCAAGACGCTCACGAGCGCACCTTACACGGGGGAGTTGGTTCGACTATGACAAAAATTAGAGAGCGATGTTGGGTACCTAGGCTGAGACAGTTGGTGAAGAAAGTAATGAAGAAATGTTTCGGGTGTCGACGATTCCACGCCAAACGAGTCGCAAGACCACCAGTGGGAAACTTACCGCGAGATCGTACCCAAGGTAACCGTCCATTCTAAATCGTGGATTTTGCTGGACCGATAAATATCGTGTGACAAAGAAAACACAAGGGAAAGCGTATGTGACTTTGTTCGCGTGTAGTCTGTGTCGAGCAATCTACTTGGAGCTGACGAAAACGATGGAACCGGTGAATTTCTGCAAACACTTAAACGGCTCATAGCAAGGGAAACCTGAAAAGATTTACTCGGATAACGCAGGAACGTTTGCAGCTGCATCAACATGGTTAAAGAATGTACAATCCGATGAGCAATTCCGCAACCAATGGACAACTTGCATGTTAGACTAAATTTTATTCTAAGCAGAGAGAAGGGAATCAAACACCAGAGCTAAAAAGAACATAGTGAAATTGGTAAAATTGCAAAATTTGGTTGCGAAATGTTGTAAAGCTTGGAAAATATAGCTTTGCAAAGTTTGCATATTTTCAGTATATTTGTATTACGAGTGGAAATTGTTACCAATACAAATATACTGAAAATATGCAAACTTTGCAAAGCTATATTTTCCAAGCTTTACAACATTTCGCAACCACATTTTGCAACTTTACTAATTTTAATAAGTTCTTAACGGGAATTGGGTTTTTTTGCCTAGATCAAAAATTTGTCTAACATGCAAGTTGTGTATTGGCGAACGAGAGAATTCATTGGCGGTTCAACTTGAGTCGCGCCCCTTGGTGGGGCGGACAATTCGAACGACTCGTCGCGAAGTGACTTTAAACAATCACCCATTGGGTATGAGGAAGATGAGATAGAGTTACCTACACTGACGCCAAATAGTTTACAGTTCGTTGGCACTACCGTATTACCCGAGTTGGAACCTCGCCATGAAGAAAATCGAGACCTCAGAAAACGAGCGAGATATCTCAAAACATGCAAAGATCATATGTGAAAAAGATGGAGTACCGAATATCTACGTGCGCTATACGAGGGAGGCACAGCATGAAACACCATGGGAAGCCGTCATAGGTATCTTATATACACTAGATAGCGCATCTCTTTTAGTAAAATTGAAGCCAGGAATATTCCAGCGGTTACCCCCATTTGAATAGATGGCGGCCATGTTGGTCGTTCCCACTTGCTAATAAACGCTTCAAAACAACAATAACTTTCATCATTTGAATAGTTTAAAAACGTATTTGGAATAGGGTTAACTTAATGTTTAAGTTCCCTGTTTAAGAAATAGACAACATGCGAATCTTCTCATTTCATGGGAACGACCTGAGACAGCAATCAAAGCTTCAATTTTTGAATTGCAGAATAATTAGATGCATCATCTAGTGTATATAAGATATCTATGGAAGCCGTCTACGTTGTCTGTCGGAGAAGTTGTAATCATTGCTTCTGATGAAAGAAACCGAGGGAAATGGCCGAAATCGAAACTGAAGAACATGTGTGAACATTGAGACATTAGAACTTGATAATATACAGTAAAAGTTCCCTTGAGAACATATATCCTTTACAAGCTATATGGGGGCAGGGTGTCGAAAACTGTCATATATTATGTTTTGTTTACGCGTGGGACGCGCGAGTCCGAACTGAACCTTATCGGAAAGTTGCAGAATATACCGGTAGTTGTTATTGTGAGAGATTTATAGTGCGTATAAACGTAAAACTTATTGTGTTGAGAAGTAGAACTATCAGGGGGGGCAATTCTCGACACAGTGAACATTTAACACCTTAACGCATTTTGTACACGATGTTCAAAATTAAACATAACTTTAATTAAAGTGCACCTAACACCTCAGTTCTCTTTATCATCTCATTCTTATAAGAACTTTTAAAATGACGTAACTTATTTTGAAATTTTTTGTTTGCTCACTTTGTTTCTGACATAGATCAGTTCCTTTGATTTGCAAATGTTTGGAATTTACGTCACATATGCATAACGACTTAAGCAATAGCTTGTGTGTCTTATTCATTATCGAGTTTAATTCATATTAATTAAAATGAAAGAAGTTGGGACGATAACATACATATGTAAAACACAATTTAGCCTCAAGTCATTATTCATGTGTGAAGGAAATTCCGGACATTTGCATTTCAAACAAACTGAGATCTCAAAAACAAAGTGAGCAAACGAAAATCTTCAAAATAAATTGTCATATCATTTCATTTCATTTCATTTCAAAAGTTCTTAAGAATGAGATGATAAAAAGAACGGAGGTTTAATAGGTGCACTAAATTAAAGTAGCATCTTGAGTTAACATTCACCTTATCATCCGCTCTGCACACAGATATGGCTGCCAGACTATAGGTGTGGAATAGCTCTACTGGACTAAAGTGCAGGCAAGCTAAAACAGAATCTCACTCGTCCCCTCTTATTAAAAAGACAAGCGTAAATGCGTAATACGTAAGGCACACGCGAATAAAAGCGCGCGGAGTTTCATTCGCGTGCACCACACGTATTCATGATTTAACAAAATAATATAAAACATTTTCCGTGTTGACATACAGTTTTGTTATTTTGTTAGTGTCAAAGTTCAATTTTTCTGTTTGCCGATTGGTCAAAAGCGTACCACGTGCCGGTCCACAAAACGTCGTGTGCACTGCGTGCTTTGCCGAGGAGGCAACCGGTCCACACTGAAACATTTATTGACCAGTCAATAATAAAATGGGTGCAATACGCATGCGTGTCAACCATGAAGTTCCAAAGTTCATTTTTTAAAACTTTTTATTAAACATTTACCGCGTTCCATTTATCCAGTTTTGGTTTCAAATTAAGTTCACTCCAATAACCGGTGAATTATTCATACTTTGACACTTACATACTAAAACTATTTATAATATAGCATTTGTAATTTCCGAACGCTGATTGGCTAAGAGCCGTGTTCATATAACTCAATGTCAACACGGAAACGTCGGAAAATTGTCGGAAAATTTCTTTCTTTATGTTTCTCTGTGCTATATTATAAAACAAATATAAAACATTTTTTCGGTATTGATATATATAGGTTATCATATAAGGGATGAGGTGATATCAGTTTTATCGCTCGAGGGA